TAAAAAAGCTCTTTTGTTAGTTATAATAAGTACTTCATTTGTTTCTTTTTTAACATCACTTAGAAGCAAATTTTCGTGTAACAGTTTATCGAAAAAAGGCCCAAAAAATCAAATCAGCCGATATGTATGGCAATTTTCTATAAAAAATTGAAAACTTCAAATTGTATCACCGTGACATATTAATCTATTTGGAAATTTCGCGTGAAAGCATAATGAATACGTAGCAAATTTTAATGAAATAGAGAGCTTTTTTTCATAACCTGAAAAATAATTAAAATTTTCTCGAAATTATACTATTGTCGCAGTATTTTTATTATTAACGTGAATGTAATAATTCATAATTTTTCAGGTTAAAAAAACATTTGCATTTCAATAAAAAATATCAATTTTCTATACTTTTATTTCATTTTATTATTATTTTTTTTTCAAAAAAAAAAGTTACAAATCAAATATATAATATATAAAATATTTAACATAATACCATATCGCGAATAAACAACAATTTTTTTTCAAGATTTGTAAATGCAGATTATTATTTGCAATATAGTAAACGAGTTTGATTATAATCTAACTCGTAATAATCAAAAAAAAAAAAAAAAAAAACAAATTTTCATACCCTAAAATCACATTTAAAGAATTATAGTAAAATTACTAGAAACTAGCATTCATAAAGGAAATAAATTTACAATAATTAAATGAAAGCATATACTATATACTTTTTTCTAAATAGAAATAAATACAACGTACCAAAAAAATGGTTTAGAAAACTATCAATGTTAAAACAAATTATAAATTACCTAAATATTGAAAAATGCTTAAAAGTAAACACCAGGTTTTAATTTTTGATTGGATTGTTTACTGCCCCGATCACGAAATGACGGATTAGGGCTAACACTTCTTGCCCTATTAGCACTAGAATAATATTCGGAAGGATTTATACGTAATAGTTGCTGTGACTTTTTAGAGGTCAATTTAGCAACATCAGGTGGAAATACCCTTGGTAGTTGTGGTGGAAAGGGTGGAAGCCTATCGTTTTTTATCCTATCATTATACCTATCGTTGTACCTATCATTATTTCTATTATTATATCTATCATTATATCTATCATTATGCATTCTTAGATCATAATTACTTGGAGGTCTATCATTATAAAATCGTGGATCATAATTGTTTGGGGTTCTATCATTATAAAATCGTGGATCATAATTGTTTGGGGTTCTATCATTATACATTCTCGGGTCATGATTTTTTGGAACAGATGGAACAGGTGGAGGGCCAAATTTTCTCTGATCATCATAATTATTAAATCTATTTGATGGATTATTAACATTATGACTTCTATTCATGAGATTCATAGATGATGCGGGTGGGCCTGGTATTAACAAATTATCAGCCTCATCATAAATTCTCGGTTGTCTACCTCTGTTATTATCATTTGAGGGAAAAGGTCTTAAACTATTTGGTAAAGGATTTTTGTAACTTTCTGCAGGATATCTATTAATGGGTGGGTTATTTATATGAGAGGAAATAGGATTTTTAGTAGTTTCCCTTTCTGATAAAGTAGGATTTTTTGTAGTTTCCCTTTCTGATAAAGTAGGATTTTTTGTAGTTTCCCTTTCTGATAAAGTAGGATTTTTTGTAGTTTCCCT